CAGTGTGAAGTCAAAAAATAAAAAAAGTAAAATACAGCCAAAGTACCTAAGGAAGAAAGTTTTGTATTATGGCTTGTAGTAAGGATCATTTCAGTGTCAAGACAATGACATATTGAAGATTAAAACCACAGTACAAACTTCATATCACTGTCTGTTTGATTAGTTAAACTGTTTTGATTTTGACTTTTTTTTTGACTAAAGCTGAACTGAATTGTTTTGACTCACTGCCAACTAAAGCTTAGTTGGCAAACAAAAAAGGACAAAAATGACTGAAATGTGACCAAAACTAGAACCAAAGACTAAGACTAATTCTAAAAAATCTGCCAAAATAACACTGCTTCACTAGCTGGAAAAGTGGCTAACACTTTACCATAACCATAATTTATAAATGGTAAATAGATTAATGTTTAATCATCATTTAAAAACAGCATATAGACCAATGGCAAATAGATAGTTTATAACAAGCAGTGAAATAATGATGAATAATTTAATCAGTTATTAATGGATTATTTTTTAAACTTTTATATAGGGTTTAAATATTGGTTGTAAAACATCTAGATTAAAATGTGTGTCAGTAGCACTTTGTAAATGGTTATTATTTGGTTTTTAAACCATCTATAAAAATTACTTAGATGGTTATTGTAAAGTTAGGGTTAGGTTTTTAAAACTGTAAAATTTACAATTTATCAATGGTCTGTATGCTATTTATAAATGATGATTAAACATTAATAAACTATCTACTTACTATTTATAAATGGTCTATTTACTATTTATAAGTTATGGTTGTTGTAAAGTGTTACCGAAAAGTGTTGCAATTGTTCAAAAGCAGCACATTTGGAAACACATGCAAAAGTCCAATATAAACACAACTGTAGAAATGGGCTGCAAATAGAAAAAAAAGCTGAAATAACTGCACCATCAGTAAACATATGTATGTGTAAATGCTCAAATATTGTACAGCAAAAAAGAAAAACAAACAAAGCAGAAAAAAATACAGGGTATGCACTGTCACTTTTATACCAGGAATTGCCCCCTCATTCACATTGGGAATTAAAAGTATGACAATTTTGGATTCTATACATTATCAAAAAAATAAAAAATAAAAGAAAAACGTAGTTTACGCAACCTGCCTCATAGCAAACAACAACAGACACAGCTAACATTGCAGCTGGAGTTCACAATAGATCACAACACTGGATGATACTGGATGAATGTTGTGTGTCCAGAGGTTGCTGCAAACATGTTGTATATGCAAATAAGTAGCAACAGTTTTTCTTTAGGTTCAAAATATCAAGTAAAATAAAGTGAGTCGAGTGGCAATGTTGTTTTAACATGCTTTGCAAACTGTTGCAAAGTGGTAAAAAAAAAACAACACTTGTTATTGCTTAAAGTCTGTGATGGAACAAATCATTACTTCTTAACAGGCAGGGCCTTTGTTAATTTAGGGGATCAAGTTTAGATACTATTGTCAATTAACCAGTACAGAAAACATTTTGAAAAAAAGAGTTGCGTCCCCAAAAATGTTGCACTATCCCTTTAACAACAGATTCATCTTTTTCGTGTTGACCATGTTACTCATTTATATCCAAGCAAAATCTACCTGCTCAGTGAAATTCCTCAATTATATTCCCATGATTTCTCCAGCAGCCTTCAGCTCAAGGTGATTGGCAGCCCTTTGGTCTCTCTCTCTTAACCTCTTGACCCCTCCTCCAGTGTGGGTTTTTATACTCTACAGGGGTATTTTCAAGCAATTTCTCAACAATATATTAAATATTAATTTCAAGGGCAACCACACACACACACACACACACACACACACACACACACACGCACACCGACCGCTACTCCACAGACAGAATGGGGCCTATTCGAAGTGAAGTGTTGCCCTCTCAAAATGAGAGAGCCTAAATACAGAAAGTAATCATGTTCAAATGTGGATAACCCCATCCTTTCTTATTACCAGTGCTCACATGCATCTTCCAGTAATGACTGAAGTCTTTTTATGGAGAATGGTCGCTTACAAATTAATACAATGTAGACAGAAGCCAGGCTGATTAAATTGTATTTATAACTTTATTTCTATTGAGCTCAGACACCAAAGTGTAGCTTGAAGAAAGAACTTCTACCAACTTGTCTTCTCACAGGGTTTATTCATTCTTCTGTGTATTGGTGTTTTGTACCAGAGGCTAAGAGCCCTATTTTATCAGTCCAAAGCATACAGTCTTAAGTGCGTGGTGCAAAATGCTTTATTGCTCATTCACAGAAGACACAGGACTCTGTAAAAGTTGTCTTTGCATGGATTGAAGGTCTATCTACTGAGAAAAACTTAACCTAGTGCACAGCTGTTACGTTTCAAGTGATAAAAGACACTGGGCCTGATCTACTACGTTTACTACATTTAGTGTGTTTGCCTTCATGAATATGCATAATGTATGTAGATCGTCAGAACACGCAAAATTCTGGGAGGAGCAGATGCAAATGAAATCATTTAGCACTCGCAATGTGATTTATCAAACCCGGAAACTGATTGCGGTCGCTGTTTTTGCGTCTATATTTAGCACGTTTGAAAGGCATATGCAAACTGGCACAGCGTAACGCACAGTCATTGTGATAGTGCGTGCAATTTTTTTTGTTTGCTCATGCTACTTAGCGTTTGCTATTCAGGATCTGAGTAAATCAGGCCCACTGTGTACATTTACATAAGGTAATAGCAGTGTAGCTTTATAAAATTTGATGTGCTGACAAGACAGTTTCAGGTACAATTTAATATGGCTAATGTTCTGCGAACATAGCATGCTTAATATTCAATGAAAGACGCAAAAACATAACTTAATTTAACATTTTCATTGGTGTATTCTTTCACTGTATGTTGAAATGGATATGAGACAGTCTGAATCAATATCTCTATCCACAATGGTCAGTGTCACCAGGGGAGGATAACAAAAAAATGAGTGTGTCAGTTTCTGCATGATTGAGAGCTTGGTGTTGGCCTCCAGCTGGTCCAGGAAAGGCTAAGGTATAACAGGTGCTACCGACCAATGGTTTGTTTGCTGTGTTCTGACAAATGTTATCCCTCCCCTTTCCCTAGTTTCTTATATATATATATATATATATATATACTGTATGTCTCGCTACAGCAGTATTGTAAATTGTGCTTTAGCACATACATGCCTCGCCTCAGTGCATGGGTTTACAAACGCAGTGAACTGTACACTGATTGCACTTTGCATTATTGAAAACTGACTCAAGGACACTAACTAGCCACGATAGCCTGCCAACAAAACAAGTCAGTGCTAAAAAAAAAAGCAGAGTTTTAGTTGTTCGTTATTACCGCACTTTTGATCGACACTTGAGCAGCCTTGTCTAACTGTAACTATGTGTGTGCTGTATGGGATGATTCAGTGTTTGTCTTGACTTTCAAAGATTGAGCCCAAGGTTGGTCTGGATGTTACAATAACAGATTCAAAAAAAAGAAAGAAACTCACAACAGACAGTGGCTTCAGTGTACTGAGCGCAGCTGCAAGGTCCCTGCATTTATAATCACTATAGCAACAAACCGACCTCTGATCATGTCACACAAGCATTTTGCACATATTGGGTTTGACATGAACTGAGACACTATACCCAAAATAAACATTTCATAACTTTACAAGTCATAAAGCTCAACCTTACTGGTTGCAATCATCTTGTTGTCTTGTTAAAACATGTAACCCTTAATGTAATCCCTATTTGAACAAAGAGAATAATTAGCTGCCCGTGAAGCACATACAGTAATCTCAGGTACTCATTCCTGCCAATGTCTCGAAGAGATCAGCTGTCAATCATTTCTGTCTTTGTATGCTGCCAAATGCTTTTATTTTCCTGGTTTCTCTGTCAGCTCCACTGTGCTAAAGTCTGGATTACAGTAGTTTGATCAAAAATTGTATACCGCTGCTCCTCTATAAAGAAAAGTGTGATGTTTTCTGCTCTGCTCCTTTTTGCACTCTGTGTGAATTTCTGAACGAGGGCTTGAACTGAAATCCATTTGTGAATTTTCTTTGTCACTTTTGAATCAACTTTTTGTTTCTCAGGTTCTCCTGAAAGAGTGAATGTCGATCTCAGTGAGAGTACCTGATTAAATAAAGGATAAAAGATGACTCCAACTCGCCTTGAACGCCCACGCCTGTCTTGTTTGTTTTTCTCCTCTGCTGTCATTCTTTCTACTTTGTCACCCTGTCACTTTCTTTGTCTTGCTGTTTGGATCGCCACTGTTGTCAGTGTGTCCACACATCACTTCTGAGTATATTTATCAGCATCTGTGACCCGTGTTTTTTTCTTTTTTATAATTCTACAGTTCTCTGTGTGTGTACGTGTTTTGGCTGAGCTTCCTGCTCTTTTGATTGCCTCATTAGAGAAACAGATTCCAGCCATCAAGCACGACACTACAGCAAAGATCCATTAATATCAAAGTAATACCACCCACATGCACACACACACTCACACACTCACAAACACAATCACGAATTCATGTTCACACCAGCACACAGCAGCACAAACATATTAGTGTTATTTTGAGCAAACAAAACAAAACATTTCAGTTATTACTAATTAAGAATTGTTTAAAATATTTATTGATGAGTAGATATCCTTTGCAAAGGTCTATAATTCCTTAACTTTTTAAAAACTTGTTAAATAAAGGTTATGTCGTTTTTTTATGAGATGAGTAAGAATAAAATTATGCTTTTAGGTGTTGTATTTGGGGAGGTTTTTTACATCTGACTCAACGGACATCGAAAGTTTGATTTATTTGCATCTGTGGGTTACATGGGTGACGTGTTCAATACGTATTTTACCTGCTGTATGAGCCAATTGACATGACAGTCCAGTAAAGATGACCGATATCTTTACCTGTCTTCGCCTCTGTAATCGGGCTGACTTTGTCCACATTTTCCGTTGTCTTAAAATAACAAATATTTCAGTTGATAACTCCGTCCTTGATTTTAAAGTGTGACAGGATCTATTTTTTAACTGACCTTGTTTCATTCTATGTTTCAGTTTGGGCTTAATATTTATGAAACATGCTGTTAAAAAAAAAAAACTATATACGTGTGTGTGTGTGTGCGTGCGTGCGTGCGTGCGTGTGTGTGTGTGTGTGTGTCCGTCTATGATTGTTATAGCTTTAAGTTTGCCCTAAAAGTCCAATTTAAAAAATAAAACTGTAACCTTCTCCCCCAAGCCAAACCTCTATCCAAAAGTCAGTCAGTCAGTTGGGTCATTAGACTGTACAAACTTACTAAAACTGGGACTCAGTTTAATGTCAGTATGGACATTACAGTTTTATATGAGAGCTTTATACATATTTCAAACATCAGGAAATATATTACTAAACAACTAATCAATAAATCAATAGATAAGACAACAAAATGCCATAAAGTGCACCAAACGTAACCATCTACATGTCGTCACTGAGATGAACACAATTGCTATAGTTGTTATTATTAATTTTATATAAACTAAATCTGACTCTTCAGGATCAGGTGTCAGAGTGTGCAGGCTTGTAGACCGGGATCAGCCTTGTGTCAGTCAGCTAGAAATCCTCTCGTCTGTTTTCTGTGCATGTTTGAATGTCAGTTGATGGTGATGCTGAGCTTGGAAAGACACTTCTTGCGTTGCATTTTGGTCCATCTGATTCTCTAAAACTCCCATTTCTGCTGAAATCCTGGTTCTTGAAATTTACAATCATTGCTTTCACAGATAAATGTATACGTATGTTTTGATTACAGATAACCATGACATTGTTCCACTGTAAGTGTATCACTCATCGGTTTAATCAGTTCTTGCATTCTTCGTCTTAAAGAAGCTTTACACTGGACAGATGGAGAGGAGTCTGAGCCTTTTTACCTCCTTCCTGTCTGTATTTTCAGTCTGTATTTTCCCCGGTGTCTGCCTGTCACTGTACATATTCCAATGAGTGTTTTTAGTGGAGTGTTTGTGCGCCTAGATGTGGATTTTCACAACTGCCACCTCCCTGTATCTCCCTCTCCCTCTCACTACTATAAATGCTCTCTTCCATCCCTACTCCACCTCTCCCTCCCTCTTTCTCTCTCTCTCTCTGATATACATAGCAATGACCCCTGTCTCAGTCATGCAGGCACCATGCTGTGAATTCCATCTAAGCAGAAAAACAAGTGGAGATTGTTATGCAAATGGCTGTGTGGTGGGCCTTGTGCAGGCAGGGAAAAAAAATGGCGATGTTTGTATCTTTATGTGTGGAGAAAGAGAGGAAAAAAAGAGAAGATACAGAAAGAAAAAGAGAGGCAGAAAAGAAAAAAAAGCTGGAGATGGAAGAAAGAAAAATGGAGGACTGAGGGGGACATCATAATGATGCAGAAAATGCAGACAAGATGGCATGATAAGATGCTCTTTTGAATGTATGTTTACAGGAATAAAACCATCCATAGGCAGGCGGTCTGTACCTGCTGGAAGTGTTTACAATGTAAAGCAACCTCAGCGATCAGCAAGGAGGAATTTTCACTCACTGCCTGTGTGTGCCCGCATCATGCAAATGACTCTCTTTTGTACTGTGTTTGTATATTTTTGCATCATATACCGCATGCATGTCATCTGTATGTGCGTATGGAAATGCTGACTCTTTCCCTTTCTTTCTTACCCTGTCAACATTTGCATGACATAAACACAAACATGCACATTATTCAGAAACACAGGGACACGTACACACATGCACATATGTGCGCACACACAAACACACAGCATGAAGAGCAGGGAGGTAATGAAGGGAAATAGCAGGTCAGTTACTGTTTAATTGTCATTGCACTTCATCGGAAACACATCAATCCAGCTCTGCTTCAGTGAGCAGAAAACTATGGCACGTCTCAGACACACTCAGAGACACACAAGTAAATTAATCAGAATAGGAGGAGGTCGTGATGGTGACAATGATAAAAGGCACAATCATGTGTGAATGTGTCAAAAACACAAATATATTTTCCCTTAAAATACAGTCGTATTGCTTCTCTGCATTGAGAATAATGGTGAGAAATTATGCCTCCAGAGTCAGATGCCAGGTTTGGTGTCTGTGTATGTTTCTGCTTCTGCCTTCCACACATTTGGATAAATATTGAGGGGAATATTTTTGCGAGTTAGTTCAATGTTGTAATTACATGACTACAAAGGAGGGCTTTTTTACGTCTCTGGTAGGGGTCTGTTTTAGGAAAGGCAGTCAAATAGGGTGGTGAACAGTGGTGCCTCTCCTGCTGCTTCACAAGGGGGCAAGACATTAGGTGAGCCCGTGAATTTGTCGATGTTGACAAGCAAGACAGCAGCTTTATACAAAGTGGATATACAGCCCCAGCTTTTGGTTTTATTTTTCCGATCTTTGGTGTAGATCCCAAAATACTTCCACTCTAAGGTTCTTAGATGTTTCCATATTGTGACTGTTGTTCAGAGCTGCTTTGTTTGACCTTGTTTACTGAGGTCAAGAGTGCATAGATTGGCCTGATAACCATGAGAGCACCCTTTGCTGGATCATACATCATGCTACTTAACGCGGTTGGGTAGATAGCATTATCATGAGTTCGAACAGCTCATTACAGTTTGAATATGAACTTCTCCCCTAGACTTTGAATCAAGGTTCAAATTTTGCAAAGTTACAGCTCTACTACACACCTATGATTTGTCAGTACTCTAAAACTGTATTCACACCCCTCATGTACAGAAGTTGTAGTATAAGCTGCACTGTCTCCTCATCCATCCATTCACACTGCTTCATTCGCCATCATGCAATGAACATGACATTTTGGCTTTCCTGAAATCTCCAAAATCCGGCAACTCGACTATGTAGAGTTGGGAAGATGTTTCGCCACTTATACAAGAAGCTTCTTCAGTTCTAAAAGAGCTAGTGGGGGGAGCTGGTATTTTATCTTACCAGAGGAGAGGAAAACAATGACTAGGTGATTACCTTGAGAGTCGTTAACCTGAGTTGGTCGTTAACTACCCCTTCCATGTGAGGTATTGTGGTCACATGGTCCCAGGTGTGAATGTTTGTGGAGCTTCCTGGACAGAGAGCTAAGAACTGCATTGTACTGAGGCCTTGCTGGTGTGCTTTTGATGTCATGTCCTGTCTTACTCTCTCCCATGTTTACCACCACCATCGAACAGAGAGGACTTTATGCTTTGAGTGAGGTGTGAGCAGGTAACTGTGGAAATTTCAGGGGCAGAGTTCCTGAAAATTTACTCTTCACTCTTAACAAACCTCACACAACAGGAAAATCTGGGAAGGTGATCTTAAGACCCATCTGATAATCTGGCTTTCGCTGACTTTAGTCAGGAGACGGGAACAGGGAGTTAAATTAACCTCTATCTTTTCAAGTCAGCTTTTTTATGCTTTACACCAGACCTCCAAATTTGCTCATGATAAACTTATTAAAGCAAAGTACTTGTTCTAGGTATAAATGCAAAATGACGGCTGTAGGTAATGGTTGTGTTTCAAGTTTAGGGGACGGCTGTTGGCAAAAGTCTATACAAATGTTTATACAAAATGAAATCTGTATGGGGCCAGCATTTCTTTCTGACAATATGTATACCTGCAAATGTAGAACTTATATACATACATCATTTTTATTTTGACAGGGTTTACACTCACAAGTGTGGGAACAAAGGTATCTGTTGACATTCATCTGTTACTCAGACTGTCTCTGCTTTTTACTTCTCGACTTTTTTCAGTCTCTGCCTCTCAAACTTCTCCCAGACGCACTCCTCTTACTCTCACTCTGTCTTTTCCACTTCTGCTGTGTTTATCTTTCACACACATAAAAACACTCCTCTCTCCCCCTCACTGTCACTGCGTTTCTCTTTGCTTTCAGACGCACTCACAAACACGCACACTTGATCGTTATCCAACAGTGTCATCAATTATTAGGTTTGCTTTATGAAACCCCAGTGCAACTCGCCACCAAACACTGTATGTGTGTCTGTGTGTGTGTTGCTTTTCATAGTGGACACTGATCCCACACACTGTTTCTTTTTCTTTTTTTTCTTTTTTCTTTTTTCTCTTGCTTTGTCTTGAATGAAGGTTGCATCAGTTTACATCAGCAGCAGACACCGTGGCAGGATGGACCCCCCAACCCCCATCACCCCTCTCCGCCAAGCAGTGAGGGCAGCGCTAACGTAAAGAGAGCTGTAGAACAGACCACAGATCACATCACCTCAAATATCGCAGTCTTTAGCTCTAAATGCTGAGATGGGATTGGATGCTAACAGCCTTTTAACCTCACGTGAGGCAGAAAGAGTTTCCCATGTTTCAGGAGGATTTCATGAAAACTGACGGTAATATTTGTGGGAACAGGCTGAAAGTGCAGAACATTGTGGTTATTCATTGATGTAAACGCTTTTCATTGAAAATCGTGCTGGTACTGATACTAAAAGAAGAAATATGTATTCCTAAAGGTCTTTATTATACTACTGTTATAACCGTTGAACTGGTCTAACAGAAATCAGCTCATTTAAAAGCAGAACGAAATCACAAGCACAGTGATGTAAAACATAAAAAAAATATTTAAATACTTGGGATGTAAAGAGAAAGCTATGGTTATATTTAATTCAATGAAAGGGATACTTAACGTCTATTATAGACGTATAGATGGCCGCCATCCCACCATTCCAGGAGGGATGGAAAAAACACATTTAACGCACCACTGAAGACGTCACACTACCATCACGTGACACCTCTGATGAAGGCTGCAGAGGCAAAGTAGCCGAAACTTGTCAGGTACAACACTTCACCTTACAGGCTTTTAAAAAGGAAAAAACTGAGATCAATATTCATACATAAGCCAAATGAACCTCTTTAATATATTGACCTTCCCTTGTTCTCAAATCAGTTCAGTAAGAGTTGTTCTAAATACTACAAACTTGGTAAGGTGTGGGGAAAGTTACATAATGGGGAAAAAAAAAAGCTGGTAGAGAACAAGCACTTCAAAGTTGTACTTTTCACCATTTGAACCAGCGGTGGTTTTTCAGAACCTCCATAGACAACAAATATAATAATGATTTAATAATTACACTTGTACATGCCCCTGTTACAAATAAAAGTGTGAATAGAAACAGGAAGTCAGATTACCAGTGTGTGAGCGGACAGAGCAGACAAAGGTGAAGGAAATGTCTCGAACAATGTAATGAATGCAGTGGCTGCAGAAAAAAGAAGGGACTATTTTCATTTTCAACCTTCACCAAATTCTCATCATAATTATGTCAATATCCCTCCAAATGCAAACACTTCCAATCCTGACAGAAAGTAATATGGTGAAAGGCCATTAAAAATGAGTCCCCCCCACTTCTACAGACACACACACACTCACACACACACATATATGCACACACCAATCACCTTCCAACTTGCCCCCGCCCTCCACCCAATAAAACTTTTGGCAGGCCTGAGCTGTTGTAATTGGCAGCCGGCTTGCCGTGCCGATAGACTCCCCTCAGTCCTGCGGGTCAAGAGTAATTTACTGAGCTGCTAAACGCTACTAGTTTCTCTCCCTTTCTCTCTTTCTACCCCGTCCAATCCCCTCACCCTCCGCCTCCTCCTCCTGCTCTGTTTTTCCCCCAGCATCCATATTGGAATTCCCATCCAAGCTGTATTACAAGCCGAGATGATGGCTTAATCCCTTGTTAATTAGGGACAACATCTCCAGCAGCTGAGGCTAAAGCGGAGAGCGGCAGAGGCTCCAGAGACATGAGGGCTCTGGCCGAGCTCGTGAGCCCAGCCAGGAGAGCCTGGCTTGGGCTCAGAGAGCTGGCGAGGGAGGGATAGGGGCGTAAAGGGGAGAAGGAGGCGAGGGAGCAGGGATGTAGCGCTGGATGAGAGTTGAAAGGGGCTGCTGCCTAATCCCCCATCGATGGCTCTTCTAGGCTAATGGAGCCTGGACAACTGGGCAACCGGATGCTGCTGTGTGCCCACTCCACTCCATTTCAGCTGGGTCAGGAGAGCTGTGGTTTTACTTGCCATTTATCGAGTTTATTCATAGACTCCCATCCTTCATTTTTGCCCATAAGCCTTAACAAAAAGCCCATTTTTTCGTGCAGATTTGTTCAACCCAGCTCAGGTTGCCATGTTTCCCAAGGAGGGTGCCGCGTTTATGTATGTGTGTGCATCTAGATGAATATTTGTACACTACCTCATCTGCTTTCCTTGACAGCTATGGATCATATTTCCCATGATGCACACAAAGTAAAGCCTCAATCACACTCAGGCAAACAAACAAACTTAATCCCAATCAAACCATCTCTACACTGTGTTTTCTCAAGAAAATGATCTCCTGTAAAACTGTGTGACAAAGACTTTCCAGGTAAATGGGAAAAGAAGATGCAGAAAAGTACAGATGGAACTAAGCGGCATGAAAAATGAGGGCTGAAAAGTGCATCTTTTAACGTTTCCTTCTCTGGTGGCAACAAAAGACCATTTATTTAGGCCCACATTTCCACCAGCTAAGTGTTGGAGTGTTAGCAGAGTGCATTATAAATACAGCCAGGCTCGTCGCTGTCCCCCGCTAACTCCCCACCACCTCCCCTGGAAGGCCCAGACTCCTGGGGAGCTCCAAACACTAGGTAATTATCCAGCACCATACCGCCTGCTGCTTCTCTACCTGTGTGTCCGGCACCACAAGAGAGGAGGAAAGATGGAAGAGGAGGGGGAGAGAGAGACGAGGGAGGGTGGATGGAAATGGAGAGGGATCAAGGTAAAGGGACAGAGAGTGTGAGACAGCATCTGTGCGGATGAGGAGGGAAGAAAAACACTGCAAATGGTGTGAGAGATGACTGAGGTGGATGAAAAAGATATGCCTCAGGTACTATTTAGTGTACCTACTTCCTGACAGAACTCATTGAACTACAAACCAACACCATGCACAGATACTTTAAAAACAAGTCAAAGAATTTCTACTATAGATTGTATATAAAGTCATATTTTAAAATGAAAAATTTTAATCTATTTTTATTTTTAAAAGTAAGGAAACGAAAGGGCAGCTGGGAATGAAAGGTTTCAAAAAATGACATTGTAGTTTAAAAGTTAAGGTGGTAGTTTGACAGGTTCAGAGGTCTTCCGCTGAAAGAATTGAAGCCTCCATGATTTTGCTGAATGTTCTGTGATATTACGATGCTAGTTGTAATGTTTTTAGGCCTTTTTAATGTTTGAAAAAAGACTTTTTTTATGGGGGGGTTAGCTGAAGGCAAACAACAACGATCCATCAGACATGTAAACCAGCATTAGCCAGCGACTGGGAAGATAACAAGTGTCTGTTTGAATATGTGACACTGGAGCAATCATGATATCAAATGTTCATCCATCTCTTCACCATTTTACAATGTGTGACGACCAGCACACTGGATCTCAGCTAAGAACTCACAGTGTCACCATTTGCCTATTTTTAGCACAATGTCAGTTTTACATATTTTAATATAGATGGTTAGCATCAATATCAGTATGTTGTGGCAGACCTATGAGGAGCGGACTTGGCTATTCATACACTCTTACTCAGTGGAAATCAAGTGTGTATCATAAAGCAAAACCGAGGGTGTATACATCTTTAGAGGCCTAAAAATGTGTTGCCTATTACCATGGCGATCTCTACTGTTTCCACCAGTTTGTTTTGCTGCTCACAGTTAATGTAACAGAAAACTCCTCTAATCCCCATGATGCCCCCATTCACTGGTCAGTGGGTAATGATAATACTATACATATCACCATTCATCCTTTGAACAGTGAATATAATATATGAAGCATGCCATTCACACGCAAGGGTTTTTTGTTAATTACCTCAAACCAGTCATTTAGTCGTATTACACTTTTACTAAGTACATCTTTGATTAAGTGTGATTAAGTCCACTACTTCTCTGCTTAAAGCTTAAGGAGAGATTTTTCAGTGTGTGTCAATTTTGACCCTCCCACCTCTGGCCAAGTCATCCCTTGCACACTAACAAATACACAAGGACTTTACCTGTTGATGTTCGTCAGAAAACGTCCCGTAAAGAGGGGGTTGCACCAACATATAAAGTGCAAGCTCATTTTGTCTTTCTTCTGCTCAGTGTTTTTATTGCCCTGTACCTGACCTGACCAATAACTGCCCACTGTTTTTCAGGTGTTTTCTGACAAAAAATTCATCCTGTTGTGCTGTTTTTCTTCCTTATACCGTATGTGTCAATCATAGTGAATATTTACTGTCATTAGCATGCTGGCAAAATTCTCAGTGTTGTTGCTGGTGGTCTTGTTTACTGTTGTAGGTCATAAAGAATCATCACTATCAATTTCAGTGTGTTTTACATCCAATTTAAAAAATCCTTTAAATCACCAGATCATATTACATAACATTTCTGCAACACATATACAGTTAACAGGTGAGGAGGGAAATTGCTGATGTCGTGAGGTCAAAGGTATTCCAAAACAGAGGGATTGATATGTGTCAGAAATATCCCATGAAGCAGTTTTGTAGGGTAAAATACATCTTATTATGTCCCCTCATATCCAAACATTTTCAATCAAGTTGTTGGACGTACAATAACGCCAAGTGTCGCTGTGAAGCACATATTTTCTTTTATTAATTTAGTCTTTAGATGCATTAAATGGTCCCTCTTTTACAAGCATATGTTTTTCTGCTCTTAAACTACAAAAACCTGCTGAAAATGAACAGAAAGTAAGTGAGTCAGAGGGGGAAAAAACGCTCCCTGCCCTTGTGGCTCACCCTGTTAAAGTGTCTTTATTAGGAGTCAGGGACTGATCACACTGCTAAGTGACCCGCCAAGGTCAGAGAGAAGGGCAGCCGGGGTAATTAGTATGCTCTTTGGTGCAGCCAGGCTGCATTTGGCTTCAGCAACATTAGTATGCTCCACCGCGGGACTGAGAGGTTACGCTAAGCTACACTAGCCATTAGTATGCTCACTTCTCAGTGGAAGGTGTTGTGCTGGGCTCTGTTCATCATCAGTCTGCTCAACACAGGGACAGTGAACAGAGCTTAGTCCACTTTGACATGGTTAAGATTACTTTTATCAACAGACCGTTATGTAACTGTTGGGCTCATAAAAATGGCAAGTTACACCAAACCAATGCAGAGATGGTGGTAAGCCAACACATTGAAAG